AGTGATTTCATCTCACTCAGTCTCAGTTTCCTCATCTATTAAGTGAAGGGTTATGTTAGGTGATCTTGAAGATATCTTTCAGCTCTAATAAGCTTCTATAACTTACTATTGTGAGATTTGATGCATCAGGGATGAGCATGAAGTTGACTGAATTTACCAATCAATTTACCTGCTATAATTAGGGCCCTATTTCCCTGTGGCCCAGTTATTCTTGCCCATGAACCGTGGGTAAATGTCTCTGTCCTTTTTCATTTTATTATTCCTTTGACCTGCAACTAAATTCCTGGCTTCCTTCAAGATTCAACTCAAATGCTACCTTTTGCAGGATGCCTTTGCTAATTCTCACAGCTATTAATGCCTTCCCTCTGAGAGCACCTTCCATCTATTCATTCTCTCTCTGTCTCTGTCTATGTCTCTATCTTTCTCTCTGGGTCTCTGGCTCTGTCTCTCTCTTCATATCTTCATAATAGCATATATGTATGTATATATATACACATATGTATATATGTATATATATATATATGTGTGTGTGTGTGTATATGTATCTTGTATGTACCTAGTATTTTTTCATGGTTGTCTGCTCCCTTGGAATGTGAATTCCTTGAGGGCATGGCCAAATTTTGACTTTCTTTGTATTTCCAGTGCTAAACACAGTGGCTGGCACAGAATAAATGCTTAACAAATTGTTGTTACCTGACTGACTGTTGAGTGACTGTGCCTCCAGCTTCCAAGGAGCCATTTCTTCTCAGGAGTCCTTCACCACCAGCTTGATCACGCCATAACTGACTCTGAGATTGCTGTTTTTTATGCATAGCTCCATAGGACACGATTCTCTTCAACCAATCACAAGATTGGTTGTGGAATCCAAGATTGGATTTCTTTCATGGCATCATTTGCTTTCATCCAATGACCCAAAGCTCCCATGATTCTTTCAAGTTAACTAAGAATGCATAACTAGTTCACTTTTGATTCATTTGAAATAGCTAAGCTTTCTTTGATTAATTAGGGTAGGAGTACACCCCTACTATGATAGTTACAACTATTTGGGATATGATGAGATTGCAAAAACTAGGGGCACAAGACCTAGATGGGAGCTCAACATGCTTCAGTAGAGCCTCTTTTTTAATGGCAATCAGCAAATATTAGAAATGGATCTGTTCTTCTTAAGGGAACAAAATTGTTTAGAATTGAGATCTGTAAATTTTCTGAAATAATAGTTCTTTCCTGTCATTCTTCTCCCTCTCCTTCTGTTTTCGGTCCCTCTTTTTAACTAGAGCTAATCTCCAGGTAAATACATTTTTTCCCATTTCTTTTTAATCATCATCTGTCCATGGCCAAGAGCTCTTTGTTCCCGTAGCTTTAGTCATAGTCTGGAAAGCCATCTTCTTAGTCTTCTTCCCATGTCTTCCTTTTTCTTCTCAAGTCCCAGCTTTCAATCAGAAATAGTGTTGAAAACACCACCTGTACCTTCCACTACTTCAGTTTCCTGCCCAGGGCTTCAAAGTCCCATGAGATTCATTCCAAGTTACTTCTGGCAGTACCATTTGTTCCAACATGAATTGGAAGAAGTGAGTAGCAGCTGTTTGTTTGGTCTGATTAATCTTTGGTGTTAGTATACCCAATCTGCCTCCCTTCCTACCCCTACCCCAAATGACTCCTTCCAAAACAGAGACCTGAAGATGAGCTCAGCTGTCTCCAAATGCAGGCAAGTTGTACTAGACAAAACCTGATCATCCAGCTCTTTATCATTATTAACTATATGCTGGTAAGGGGTGGGGGACACTAGCAAACAGGCTGCAAGTTCTACTTCTGTACCTATAATACAATCCTCACACTAGGGGAAACAGTTCCATGACAAGTCATGTATTGCTTGGGATGCCAAACCTCTGCTCTCATCCACTGACACTTTTACCTGTCAGACCACTTACAAAACAAGCCACCTGGGACTTGAGCTCCTCAGTCAGATGTTTTTGCTCCAAACACATCTCTGTAACACACACATTCATTGCAAATGCTACCCATTTTTTTTCCAATGGTGCCAAGTCCATAGCCCCAGGATGCTTTCACATGCCACAAATAGCATCTACTTCCTGATGCTGCTAAAGACCATCTCTTCTCCTTTACCCCAAACAATTGGGCAATAGAATCCCTCCCTCTCAGTGCCAGGTGATCTTCAAGGCCAGGAGACAGAGAGAGGAAAATTCTTGTATAGTGCATCTCAGGCCAAGGTGTCCCAAGCTCCTGACATTGGAAGATACTCCACCATGACCTGAACACATGCCCCAGGAAAATAGTACCCCTCTTACCAGGCCATGTCAGATCAATCTATGTACACTTCATCAGGCTGGTCTTGATAAATTACAACATGTCTCTTCTTCCTATGATCAACAATGGATTTTCTCGATTCTGCAGAACTCGGCAGATTCATCGTATTCTGTGGGGCATGGAATGCTGCTTCTCTTTCAGGTTTAGGACCTTCCTCTTCCTTTGACTACCTGCTGACCTTGGACAAATCAACCATCTGTCTAGGCCTTTATTTCCTTCTCTGTCAAAAGAGAGGGTTACACTGGATGACCTCTAAGGTCCCTTCCAGCATGAACAATTTTTGATTCTGAGAAGCTCTCCTGTTATGAATGAATTATTAATAAATATTTAATAACCTTCCCCTAATTTAGGCCCGAGCAATTTTTTATCTGCTCATGTCAGGCAGAGTCCTTTAAGGGGGAAATATTTTTCTAACATCATAAACATAACTAAACACAATAAATTTTAAAAAACCCTAAAATAATAATTTCATATTCTTGCTCCAAACTACCTTTCCAGACTTATTATACATTATTTTCCTTCACATATTTTCTACTTCAGCAAAACTGGCCTGTTTGCTATTCCTTATATATTTCCTTCCATCTCCCATCTCTGAACCTTTGAACAGGCTATCTTCAATGCCTAGAATGCATTCCTGCCTTCACTTGGCCTCTTAGAAGCCTTTGTTGTTGTTGTTTCAGTTATGTCCAATTCTTTGTGACCCCATTTGGGGTTTTCTTTGTAAAGGTACTGGAGTGCTTTGCCATTTCCTTCTCCAGCTCATTTTACAAATGAGAAAACTGAGGCAGACAGTGTTAAATGACTTGCACAAGGTCACACAGCTAGTAAGTGTCTGAGGCTAAATTTGAACTCAGGTCTTCCTTCTACAGGCTTGTTGCTCTATCCACTGTGCTACCTAGCTGTACTGTTAGAAACTTTAGTTTCCTTCAAAGTGCTTAGCATAGTGCCTGGCACATAACAGGTGTTTAACAAATGTTTTTTTTTTTTGACCGATTGACTCAAAGTTCATTTTAGGTACTACCTCCAAATAAGGATTCCTGATTCCTTAATGGCTCCTCTCCAAAATCACCTTTTATTTATTTTCTACATATTTTATATATTTTTAAAGAATGTCATTTCATCGAGGGTAGAGGCTTTCATTTCTCTATGTATCTTTGACACCTTGACCCATGACATGTAGGAGGCACTTAATAAGGACATATTGATTGACAACTGCCATTTTATATAATTTTGTGAAGCACTTTATGCACATCATCTCACTTGAACCTCAAAACACCCTTGTGAAACAGATAATAGAGCTATTATTATTATTCTCATTTTACAGATGAGGAAATTGAGGCACAGGAAAGTAAGTGACTTGTCTATGATCTTACATGGCTACTAAGTGCCAATGGATGGGATTTGAACCTATATTATCCTGAATACAAGCAAGCATCCTATCCATTAACCACACTGCCTCTCATGCAAAAACTACAGTTAATTCTTTCAACGAATGTTTACTGAACACCTACCAAACATAAGATATCACATATCTGCATTTGGCGAGTCAGGCCTAATATTTCTGTAAAGGGCCTGTAAATCAAAATATGGTAAACCCTGATGATTCTTTTCCATTTCCTGAAAGGTTATCTCCTATTTTACTTTCTTCCTTGCTTTCCTTCCTTTCTTTCATTTTCTTCCTTCCTTTCTCCCTTTTTTCCTTTCTGTCTCCCTTCCTTTCCTTTCCTTTCCCTTTTTTTCCTTCATTCCTGTATTTCCTTCCTTTCTTTCATTTTCTTCCTTCCTTTCTCTCTCCTTTCCTTCCTTCCTCCTTTCCTTTCCTTTTCTTTTCCTTTTCTTCTTTCCTTCCTTCCTTTCTTGTTTCCTTCCCTTTCTTTAATTTTCTTCCTCCTTTCCTTTCTTTATATGTATATTATTTTTATTTTAACATTTTTATTGATATGGATATTGTTGCAGCACAATAGGAATTTTCAGCAAGGCCCCCAACAAAGTCCATGGCAAAGGACATTCACTGCCGATAGGCAAGCAAATGGCAAGTCCCCCCTTTCTGGATCGATTTCAAACCTGAGCTGACAAACAGCTCTTTACAACTTCTGCATTTTGATGTCTGGCTCGTTTGGTCCCTGCTGTTTCTTTCATCAATCAGAGTAAGGGATTTCCCTCAAAATGCATCGTTTCTAAAGTGTGGGAAGGGAATTGGGGTAGGGAACACAAAAAGTGAAGGGAAGAAACATGTTCAAGGGAATCAGTGCCCTAACACTAGGCTGGGTAACATGAGTCCAATGACAAGGACATATTTGCACTCATGCTTTTGGTATCTGAGGGGCTGTCTTTGGGAATTTAGCTGGGGTTTTACTTTTCAGGGAGTATGGAAACATATAAGCCTGACTTCTTTCCTGAGATTATGTTACATATTTCTACTTTCTAATGGTATGTGCATTCTCCCTTTGCTCCTGCATGCAGATTTGCAGTTGACATGAGTAGGCTCTTTATTTTGAAAATCATCTTGAATAGTAAAACATGACTTTTTAATTCTGTCATGTACATGTAATGAGAAGCTACCGGGAGTCAATCCACAGGGGCCAGGAAGGAGGGGAGTTGGTTTGTACTTGGACAGTGGTAACCAGCTCTTTCAAGGATGAGGACCCCTTTTTAAAATTAAAAACAACGCTCAGACACTTACCTGGCATGAGGGATTCCATGATCATGAAGGTGCTTTCCTCACAGAGAGGCTTATCCATTGCACTCAGGTTGGGATGACACCTATGATTTCCCCCAAATACAAGAAACTCAACTGCATAATTTGTGGTAGCAGGGGACTGCATTCACATTCTCCTCTGAATAAACAACAATAACAACAACAACATCAACAAAACCAACAAAAACAATGCTCAGGCCCCACATGATCACAGTTGTATAATTAATTGGTACCCAACAATCAAGATAATATATGATGACAAAAAGAGGGACTGAATCATCTAAAGCTTTGAAATGAATTTATATTTTATTAGAATATTTGTATCTATATTCTTTTGCAAAATATTAATCTAAATCTGCGACAGGTGGCATGGCATAGTAGAGAGACTGTTAGACTTGGAATCAGCAAGTCTTGAGTTCAAATTCTGCTTCTGTCTCTTATTATGTGACTGTCTCTTAACTTCTCTGAACCTTGCTTTCCTTATCTGCAAAATGGAGAGATTAATACCCATAGCACCTAGATCACAAGGATAGCTTGAGGCTAAAATAAGCTAATATATGGAAAGCTCATTTCAAACTATAAAGTGCCACGTAATTGTTGGTTATTAGTATATGGGGAGATGTTGTTTATTCAGACAGAGGCATAGTTACATATTTGTGGATTTCCATCTGGATTTGTGGGATCCCTATTAATAATTGCTACACTTCCCTTTCCCCTTCTCCAATGGTCCTTTGGTTGGAAACTGCTAGATTATATGATGGATTGTTTAGCAGAAGCTAGGCAACCATATATCAACCAGTCAACGAATCTTGATTAAGTGCCTACTATGTGCCAGGCACTGTATTGGGTATGCAAAGACAAAAATGGAATAATTTCTGACCTTGCCAAAGCTTATGTGATTTTGGAACAGAAAACATGAATACATATAAGCGTAGACAAAAATTACATTAATATTGTTAGTAATAATAAATAATAATAGCTAGGATTTATATACCTTAAGGTTTGCAAAACACTTTACATATACTCATTTAATCCTTAAAACAAGCCTATGAAGTAGGTTCTATAACTATCCCAATGTTTCAGAGGAGGAAACTGAGGCAAACAGGGGTTAAGCAACTTGCCCAGAGTCGCACAGATGCTTATTGGTCTGAGGCAAGATTTTAACTCAGTATCCAAGTCCAGCACCTATTTGCCTCAACATATGTACAAAAAATGCAAAGTAATTTTTGAGGGGCAGATACTAGTAGCCAAGGTGGGGGGATCAGAAAAGACTTCATGCAGAAGATTTGTTAGAAACTAGAGATTCTAAGAGGCATAAGAAGGACATTCCAGGGAACTCAGAACATGCAAGATCATAGAGATGGAAGGTCTTATATGAGGAACAGCAAGAAAGCCAGTTTTGCTGGTGGGCAGAGTACATGAAGGGAAATAAGGCTCTCAGTGGTTTCTGGGTATAAGATTGTACTAAATGACTTCAGAGAGATTTCCTCCCTCCTCTGAAATTTGACAATTACTCTGGAGGGAAAGGGTGTGTACAAAGACATGGAGGCAAGTAGAAGAAAGCTTGTGGTCCTATTAGATAAATATGATTAAAAAAATATATTAAAATGAACATGTACAAACACAGGCAGATGCCTTTTTAATCTGTCAGCATATTCTTTGCATTCAGGCATAAACATTATTATCACACTCAGTGTGTTCCTGCAAAAATTATCAAAGTCCTCAAAATGTAGCCTCTGTGGCTTTGAGTTGAATATGAACTTTGGGTGCCACAATGTGAAAACAAGCTAAGAAAGGGAGGGGGAGGGAAAAATCAGACTTTTCATTTTTACAGATGATTAGCTAAGGTTTCCTTCACTAACATCAGATGGAAAAGGGTAAATATTTAGTATTGAGTAAAATATAGCCTTGTGGCACATACTTGGCCTTGATAAAATTTTCCACTGTAATTCACATAAAATATTAACTGTTGATAAAAAGAGGACACCAGGGAAGAGGCCAGAGGGGGATATGGCATCATTTCAGAGATTTCCAAGATTAATCATGACATCCTGAACTCTTGTCATTGTGTGTTTAGGGGCATGTTGGGGAAGGGGCATTACTGCCATCCTCTTCGTATTTATAGCATTGACCTTTGCATTATAGCCGCCTGCTCCAAAGCGCAGTTATTTCTAATTGCTTTATGTGCCCATGGAGATCCTCTTTTGCCTCTGTTAGTTATATACAGTACTGAGGCACGCATGTTTGGCCAATGAATCTTTCACTGACTTGATATTTATGGCAGCATTGGAATATGAGAGGTGGGAATGTTGCATTTGGCGGGGGGGCGGGGATATGTGCATGTTGTATGTTTGTTGGAATGGTTTTTACTATCTGCATGGCTATATACTTAATGAGGTGACAGAAAGAATTAAAAGTGACAGATTGTTTTGATGGCACTGAGGCCCTGAGAGATATATTCTCCTCTAGTACAACTCAATAAACCCAGCTTGTGTGAAGCTCTGTGGGTGTGATTCATGGCTGCAGCAGGGCTACTCACGGAGGTTTAATGAGAGATGGTCTTGGGCCAGGCTTTGGGGAATTGGGACTGCTGTCAGAGGATAGAGAAGCACTGTCCTCCAGGATGGCTCCAGAAATTCACAAAGAAGAGTTAAGTTACAAATACAAGGTACTTTGTGGACTTTTTAGCCTTTGGTTCATGGACTTGTTAAAAATATTTTTTGTAACTCTATATCTCTATAATTGGTTTCCTTTGTAATCCTATGTGTTTTATGAATCTAAAAACATGATTCTGAGAAGAGATTCATAGGTTTCACCAGACTGTCCAAAGGGTCAATGACACAAAAATCTCTAGAACTATGAGATTCCTTAAAATACCTAATTTGGAGTTGAACAGGCTGCTAATGAAACCATGTAACTTCACCCAACTCAGCAACACCAAGTCTAATAGCTGACACCTCTACAGTAGAGTATGGTTTATAAGATTTATTATTCACTATCTCTTTGTATCTGCAAAACAACAACAACAACAACAACAAAAATCTTGTCATCCCATCCATTCTGACTGAACAAGATGTACCGGTAGCCAGTCTACAAAAGCTGAGGAAAGTAGAACAGAGATATAGCTCCTTTCTGCCAGCAACTGGATTGCCATATTCCTAGTTAAACCTACAAACCTGTCTTCAGAACCCACAAACCTGTTGGGGATGGCTAAAACTGCTGTCCTTTGCTATGGGTGAATCAAATACAGGGACACTGCAATCAAGTGTAATCCAAGTAACTAGAATCCTTAATTAACTTGTGGGTATGCATTTTCCCACACTTCATTTCAAGAGACAAACAAGAGCAATATTATAACTCACCACTAAATAGGGTGTCCCAAAAGTCTGATTGCAGTTCCAAGATTTAATAATCGGTTCTAGCCATGATTGTTAAAGCTTAGAATCAGTAAATATAACCATGTTAGATCCATTTATGGATATAGCTAGTTATATCCCTTGTTATTATAGCTTACAACTGCCCTTAGAACACCCTGTATAGTGCTTATGATTTATAAAGCGCTTTTCTTATAACATTGTTGCAAAGAGAGTGGAAGATATACTGTTATCTCTACTTTTTAATTGAAGAAACTGAGGTTCAAAGAATTTAAGTGACAGGCACTGCATTTTCCAATTCAGAAAGTCTAAGATCTATGTCTGGAAACAGGTCTTATGATTCCCACTTCAGTGCTTCATCTTCTATCACAAAGCAAAACAAGCTTGTTATACAGAAGAATTCTGAGAACTGCTACCTCTTCTAAAGCAGATCCTGGGTGTTCCTTATATACATTAGGACTTATAATAAAAGTCAATTAATGTCAATCAATGAAAGTCAGAATCAAGAAGGTACCCAGGCAGCTTGAGATGATGGTCCTATTTGCCAGAAGATCATGGCTTTTCCTGTGTTCTTCAATTGAGTCACCCAATTAAATTCATTATACTCTAAATACTATGGCAGGAAATTATTGTATTGCATTTTAGAAACATTTTTCAATAACTCAAGTTGAAACAAATAAAAAAAGGATTTTCTGAGAATTCGTATGTATGTGCATATGTGTATAAAATGGATGGATAGATAGATAGATAGATAGATAGATAGATAGATAGATAGATAGATAGTATACTAGTATAGTAGGGGCTATTTCAGAACCACCTTCCCAAGAAAGAACCCACTTGGACTTGGCCTAGCCTGGACTCAGATTTCATCAGTAATGAGTTTTTTTCTCACAGTATGACGTGCTTACAACAAAACTAATGGGTTGCCTTCTGAGGAAACCTCATTTTTCCAAGGAATGCATAGACTAGACAGTGCTCCCTAAAACAAAATCCAAATGTACAAGCTTTGGGAGAGCCATACTAATTCTTACAAATGGACAATGGGGGTGATATACCAATGCTGCAGGTGGCATATTCTTTGCTTCTCATAGTCCTGTGAGGATTTCAGTTGTTTAGCATGTAATATTTAATATAAAAAATAATCTTCCCTCTCAAAGTACAGACAAGTAATCCAACTAGATCACCATTGTTAGCCATACTTGCCATAAAGGTGTGTGTGTGGGGGTGTTGAATGAGGACAGCTGTTCCCTGATCAAACAATGCTCTATCATGTCAACTGTTTATTCTTTCTCTATCTTAGTAGGCTAAAAGCTTGCTCTGATGGGCATTTTGCAGGGAGATCATAGCTTTTCTTGAGCTCTTTCAAATTATTTTGATAAATGCCTCTACCAGGTATCTTAGCATGAGAAATAGAATCTTTCCTGAGTCAACATAGCCTGATTTTCCTCTGTCAATCGCCTTTACATTTGAACTGGGAGGTGTGGCAGCTGTGAACCACGGACCAATTTTCTGGTTTACTCTCAGTTAATTAACCACAGTATTCCATTCCTAAGCATCCTGGTTACTCAAGGTCTTCCTATCATAGACAAGGAATCTTTTGAAGTGCTTCTTATCTCTGGAGCCCCCGATGTGAGTCCTGAACCCAATTATGTACTTTCTCATGATCATATTTTGATTTATCGGGTACAGATTTAAAATGAAAGATCAAGAAATAACTGAACCAGAGTAATTTCAAATGTCAAGAACTAGTTATTCTTACAACAAGT